GCCTGGTGCATTGGAGAAAGGCCTGGCTTTGTGATCAAAAAGCTTAAATGCCAACTCTACCACTAACTAGCTTTTAAATAACTGAGAAATTACCTAACCTCTGAGCTAGTTTCCTTATCTATAAAAGAAGAATGGCAAGCCTTCCCATACAGTTGTTAGGCTAATATGAGCTAATGTTTTAGAAGTCTTTTGTAAACCACATTTTATCCACCTTAAGCCATTTTATTGTCCTTGAAAAATATACTCCAGGATTAGGGAGGCTGGGATGGCTGGTCCAGGTATACATGGTTTATACTTGGTTCTCTAAGAGTCGTTGTCATGGGATCTGTTTGTCTCCTTCACAAGAGCTGGCTGCCTGCCAGATGGGGAGTTTCTTCCTCAGTAACTAACCTAGTCCATGTGCCTAGTAGACACCCAAAGTTAAATATCTGTCTTTTGCGGATAAGGTTTGTAAGTTGATTCTCACCCCTTAGCTGGTCAGTGTATCAATTTCCTACACTACTGGCCACACATGGTGGTGCACGCCTATTATGCCACTCCTCAGGAGGTTGAAGCAAGTTTGAGGCCAGCATGGGTTACATAATGAGTTCAAGGACAGCCTGAACTACATAGAGAGACCCTGTCTTGCATGAACTTCCAATTCTATGCTAAGCCCAAGTCATAACTACACATCTTTTTTTTTATATACAAAAAATATTTTAATGCAGTACACAAAAGCATTAAACCCCACAAAGCGTTCTTCCTACAGTACAGCAACTCTCAGGGGGTGGGCAGGAGTGACCAACAAGGATGTTCCCTTCTCTCTGGTCCCTCACTCATGCACTTTGCCATTTCTTGTTGCCCTCTGACCTATGAATTTCCAAAAACCACTGATGAGCTGATTGAGGGGCACCCTTGGGAAAATGACCCAGCTTCTTAGTCCTTTATTTTGGATGAAAATAAGTAGACGTGAAGCATTTTAGTAAATCATCTTTACATTTATACTTTATATTCCTACTATTGAGGCAAGACAGCACAGCCAAATTCCATTTATGTGAGGGAAACATTTATGCCATGTGTGTAACACTGTTTCTATAGCCTCACACATTTTACAAATAAGAAAACCAAAGCAGAGAATTTAAACATCTCCAAGGGCACCCACTCATAAATAGTTGAGCCTGGTTTCAAATGGCCAAGTGGTCTCCTTGGCAACCATACCTGTTCACTTACTGCTAAGACAGCATTTATCTTTCCTTCAGCTGTTTGCCCAGATGTCTAATGCTGTGGGCCACAGCATCAAGTAGATGGCCATGCCTGAAGCCAGGCTGCCTACCTGCTCACTGTGCCATTAGTAAGTCTCCCCACTGTCCCCATTTTATAGGTGGGGAGACTGAAGTTTTTTAAAATACAACTTGATAAGCCAGGTGTGGGGTTACACAACTATAGTCCCAGCACTTGGGAAGCTGAGGCAGAAGAATCACTGAGTTTGAGGCTAGCATGAACTACATAGCAAGACCTTGTCTCAAAAACACCCAAACACCTAATTAATTAAAGTACAACTTCATGTACCTCTGCAAAATCTCTAGCACAATGCCTGGCATATAAATGCCTGATACACGTTACCTCAGTATACATGATCTTCAAAAAAAGTTGGCATATTTGCTGCTTGTTGTACATACTCCAACAGAACCAAGCTAGGATATTAAGTGTATTGTGGTTTTATTATAGATAGATGAGCTAGGTAGAAATATTATAGGCAGTCAGATAGGGCTAGGTCCTCAAGAGGGTCAGGACAAAGGTGAAACACACCACAGTGGCAACCGGAGGAGACACATCGGCTGAAAACCAGGCCTCAAGATAAAGACAAGATGACCAGACCTACATACTTTCTCGAAGAACACTGGCCCTCATGAAGTTCCAATAGACATCAACCACCCCGGTGGGACCAGAGACTTTTGGACCCACTTCCTAGGAGAATCTGTTCTTTCCATCCATGCTTGTTATGTGACTTATTTTTTCCCAGTTGGACCACTGTTACCTAACTGACTACACTTGTAACTTGTTGGATGATCATGGCTGTGGCCCACATTGTACCCATGTGGGTTTCACCCTATAAAACTCTGTGGAGGGCCAGGGATTTAGCTCAGTGGCACTGCACCAGCCTCAAAAGTGCAAGGTCCTGAGTTCAATCCCCAGTACCAAAAAAAAAAAAAAAAAACTTCTGTCAAGTGGAATTCCCCAGGCTACCCACTGGGGACTCTTCCTGTCCTTCAGGAGCTTTCCTATCAATAAGTATCTTCCTACTCTTAACCTCCATTTTTCCTAGGATTCATTTTTCAATTTCTAGAGAGTAAGAACTCGGCATATCATACAGTTAACAGGTTGGGAGATATATTTCATATTTCATCTCTGGTATTATTTCCTGTAACAGTATGAGGGAAAGCATAGGTCTGAAATGTCATGCCAGCCACAATCACACAAGCACAAACCTGAGAAAATGGTGATTGGCTACTTCCTGTTGCCTTTTGGTTTCAGGGACCATGATTGAGTGAGACTCTAGCCCCAGACAAATAACATAACTAAAATATTCAGTTGTAGTCTTGGGCATGGTGGCTGCAGCTTTAGCACCCCAGGGGAGTAAAACAATTCTATGTGGGTAAATATTTTCAAAGACTCTGCAAGTGGCATACGATACAGTGGTTCAAAGTTGCCATGCATTTGTACTATGGGCATTGGTGTTCTGTGGTGCTTGCCTAGGGAAGGGTTGGGCTCCATTATTTCTATTGTCAGATGCCAAGGGAAATTGTAATTTTAACACTTGACTATTTTCTACGCAGAACGTATTTGTCCTCATAGGGACTTTGTTTTCAGAAGATAAGGTGCAGAGGACCTGGGCTTGTCATTGTGCCCAGGGTCACACTTGAGCCTCCAGTACCCCAGCAGAAACCCTGCTTGAACACCTCCAGCTTCTACTTAGAGACAGGGCAGCAGAGATCATGTTAGTACCTTCCCCCAGGTGTTTGTGTTACCCCAAATTGAGCCCCTGAGTTTTTAATCCCTTTGTAGATGAAAGAACCTAGATATCTAAGATTAAGGAAGAAGGACCATCTGTCTTTAAGGTTGAGGCTAAATAACCTAAACCATGAATATCTAGGCAAAGTGATTTAAGACAATATGGCATAAACTGGTGAAAACCACAATGGATAATCATCACTTCAGCAGTTGTCATGAAGTTACTTAACAGTACTAGGGATTGAACCTCACACTGTGCTACATACCCAGCCTTGACTTAAACTTAACAGAAGCAGAATTTGAATTTCAGTTAAAACCTCTCATCCCCTTCTTCACAAAAGTGGTGATCCACATCTTACAAGATCGGGGAAATTTAAATCTTCCTATTTTGTGTGGTTAACAAACATCAAGGGAAGTATATTTCTATTGACTTCAGTATTCCATGTTAATGACATTTTTACTTTTGTGATTTGAAACTCATAGCTGAGGCAGGGGGATTGCATGTTTGAGACCAGCTGGAGCAATTTAGCAATATTCTGTCTCAAAGTAAAATAAAAAGGACTGGGAGATGTAGCTCAGTGCTTAGCATTACAGCACTTTACCTAGCATGAGCAAGGCCCTGGGTTCAATACCTACTGTGGTAGGGGGAAAAAAATCTAGCCAATGTGTACATGAGAATCTTTTTGTTTTTTAATTTAGGATAAGTGGGAAAACTGATCTGAATTAAGGATATTTAAAGAAATACACAATAAGCTCAGCAAGATGGCACAGGCCTATAATCACAGATACTCAGGAGATAGAAGCAGAAGGATCCCAAGTTTGAGACAAGCCTAAGCAATTTAATGAGATTTTGTCTCAAAATTTAAAAAGGGGCTGGGGGAGTAGCTCAGTGCTTGCATATTGGTTTCATCTCCGGTACTGGAAAAAAACAACAACAACAACTAATAAACATCAAAAGAAGTTAACACAAATTACTGAGGCCAGGAACATGTTTGTCAGGTTGGCTGGTTATCTGGAGTGGGACATGGAAATCAGTTTGGTTCCTGCCATATTAACTTGGCACTCATTTTGGTAGAAAAAAGGAAAATGCATCAGACAAAACTAGATGAAAATAGCAAACATGAGTAGAATGGCATGGAAATAGGCCAACAATATCCCTTAAGAATTTAAAAAAAAAAAGAATTTTTAAAAACCTTCTTATATTAAAAAATTCATAAAAGTAAGCTAACTGTAAAATGTCACAAATATAGCAAAGAATCACTATCTTTAAGATTATGGTGAACTCATACAAATCCCTAGGGGGAAAACTAATAAAACCTAAGTAGAGAAAATAATAAATTATGTATGTACTGTTTAGAAGAGATAAATGCTCAGCTGGGTGTGGTGGCACACACCTATAATCCCAGCACTTGGGAGGCTGAGGCAGGAGGATCTCACTGAGAGTTCCAGGCCAGCCTTGGCTACAAGATCAGCCTGAACTACATGGTGAAACCCTGATCAAAAAAAAAAAATTTTTTTAAGAGAAAAGAGATAAAATGCTACCTATTGGATATGTTGAAAATGATCAATTTCTAGTCTTTTGGGGGGGGGGGGTAAGTGTGGATAAACCCTGGACCTTCCCACTGGGCTATTTCTCAAACACATTTTTTCACTTTTTTCCTACTCTTTTTTATTAGTTATACAGATTAATGGATTTCATTGTGGCAGATTTGAATATGCATACTTTGATCATTTTCACACACAGCGGTCACTTCCCTTGCTGTGCCCACCCCAGTTTCATATTTGAGAGGAGATACCAATATGTATATTTTGCTTATATCCATTGCCCCTATTATCTACCCTTACACCCCTTGCTCCTTCCTCTTATTCTCTTCTTGTCTAATCCCTGCCTGTTTTTATTTTTTATTTTGATACATGTTCTCGCTAGGACACCAAATTACCCAGGCTAGGTTTGAACATAGGATCCTCTAGCCTGAGCCTCTCAGAGTGCTGAGATTACAGGTGTGTACCACTATACTTGGTGATCGGTTTCTATTTCTGGTTACCAATGATGTTAACACGGTGAAATCATTTTCACTTACATAATTTAAAAAGTTTTCTTTTGTACCATTTTTATTGCTACTGAGGGATTAGTAAAAGATACTTAGTTACATTGCTGGGACACAGGATATAGAAGAAGTATATCTCCTTCAAAGAATTTGGCAGTTTGGAAATGGTCATGTCTTTAAACACAAGTTCCATTTCTGAGCATGCAAACTAAGAAAATAATTCTCCACATGTAAAAATAACCAAATGTTTATGCTATTTATAAGAAGCAAACAAAGAGAGACTATTCAAGAATCAGACAAAGGAGACTAAGTTTGATTCCATGACCTCTGTAGAACAGAGGTCAGAAAATGTAGTCCTGCTGACCAGAGTCAGCCTGCTGACTTTTTGTTAACCTTTAAGCCAAGAATATTTTTATATTTTTAAGTGGTGGGGAAAGGAGATTAAAAAAAAGACCACTATTATGTGACACACATAAGAATTCACACTTCAGAGCCCACTCCTTCATGTGAGATCCATGACTGTCCCTGCTCTGCAGAGGTGCAGGTCAGTAGTCCAGCAGAGACCCTGTGACCCACAGAAAATGTCTGCAGACCTCTTTGAACACTGTACAGCCACAGAAAGCCTTCATTTGAAAGTCTTAACAATCAGGTTGTATGTGTTATTTATAGTGGTTGATAAAAAGGCAGGATGTAAGGTGTGTGTGTATGAAAGTGACATAAAATGTTTCAGAAATTGGGATTTTCAATTTTCCAGAATGTTACTACATAATGGTGAACAATGCTATTTAAAAGGAAAAGCAGGGGCCTGGGATTTAGCTCAGCAGTTCTATCACCTGCCTTGAAGGTGAAAGGTCCCAAGTTCAATCCCTGGTACCAAAAAAGAAAAAAAGGAAAATAGCTCATAGCTATTAAATTTTATGAAAGTCAGAAAAAAATCTTTAGAACTTACCTGTCAACACAACTTTTCCAGATACAAAGATAAGCAACACAATTCGTGGTTTTACCATTCTATAAATAAGGCCAGGAAACAGTTCAGGTTCATAACTATTAAGACAGAAAAAGAAAAAGTTAAAAATAGCACTATTCATCTATATTTCCAAAACATTCAAGACCCAGTATATTATAACTGCATATCATAGTGGTTGTAAATAAGTACTGTGTTACCAAAACCCTTTTAGCTATCTTGATAAAAAAAAATAGTGCTGAGTGTAGATATTTTTATTTTTCACTTGTTGCTTGGCATGAAACCCAGAGCCTCACACACATTCTTCCTCAAGCTACATTCCCAGCCCTGAGTGCAGACAGTATGGAAGTCAAGAACAGAATTTTTGGTTATATTATTTTTCATTTATAAGCCACCTGAGGCTATTAGGAGCTGAGGTTATCTTATCAGAGTTAATATATCATGATATTGTTGGTTTAATGTTCTCTATCTTCAATCAAAAGCCTGCCAATGTAAACAGGTTTTTCTGAGATTTTACCATTTCCCAATAATAAATATATTTTGTAAGCATTTATAAGTTCTTAAACATTTTTAGCAGATAGAACCTGAAAAGAATTTCTAGACCACAGCCATTTGTTTTTGAATGTTTGCTATATGAGGTATGATTGAAAAATACGGTTATGTATAAAATGTATATGTATATAAACATTATATATGTATAATGTATAAAACTTTAAAAATTTTGTATTATAGTTGAAAGACACACTGTCATTAATCCCTGTGTAAATACTCTCCTTAGCTTCAAATATACTTAACTCATTATTCTTGTCTCTTTCTGAAGCAGTTTGGGAAATCCCCTTTCAGGATGTCTTTAGTTGTGCTGTTGTGGCTGAGTCAATGTCCTCAGTCCATTTTTTATTTTGCTTACATTCTTGTATTGGTACATTTTAGGTATACATTTACATTTATCATTGGGTGTCCTCAGTCAATGTAAAGCATTTATCCTTCACAATCATATTCATTTTAGGGCAGAGCCAGAAGCTGCACAGGGTCAGATATTTTTATTTGACAGAAATTGCTGTAAACGTTTTGCATTGATTCGGAATATCAGAGCAACCACAAAAAGACACTTATGAAAGAGGATTTCCAGAACTCTTTAGAAAGTGATAAGAAAGATGGCATAAGTATGTTCAACATGTGGAGGAGAATTCTGAGGAAGATGAATGGCAATGTGTCTTTCAGTATAATAATTTTTTTATTTTTAATTAAAACATTCACCATAGTTTTTATCACACCTTGTACAAAGAAAGACAAACTATTGCAAGATTGTAAAATTTAGAACTTGTTCCTCTAAATAGTAATTTATTTATGTCCACGCTTAAATGTAAGCTGGCTTCTCCATGGAGCAAAGGATGATGGAGCTAAAAAACTAGTTCTCCATACCCCCACTCAGGAAAGAGGACAAATTCCTAAAAATGGTGCCAGAGCCTCCCAAAATGAACCCAGGAGGTGAAAGAAGGCTAACAAAATAAAGTTAGTCTCAAACAATGGCTAATAGAACAGAGAGAAGAAAAGAAATCTGAGAGATGGAAAATGATAATGCACATGAATCTTTGCACTGAAAGGGTGAATCCAAATGACGTGGGAGATCTCTATTTGGTTCTGCAATGAATAAAGCCTGTGTGCATCCACAATGTTGTGAGGTGACCTTCTGAAGGATACGGGGGTCTAATGTAGGTGGAGCCTACATTCCTGTGCTTTCTGTGCCAGCACTCAGCCTTAGTGAGGAAGCCCACCAAGACTTCCTCTTGCTGTCCACTTGGCAGCACTAGTAGAGGGCCTGGAAGATCCACTGGGCCAGGAAAATGATGGCTTGGGGGGCAGAAGAATTTCATCTGATCTGATCTTCAAACTAAATCTTAGGACACTAAAATAGAGAAAGAGAAAGACTTTGGTACAAAAATGATGGTGAACTCCATTTGCTTTCAAAATACTGGTTTTAAAGTAACCAAAATAATGAACAGATTAGAGATTTACGTTATCATCTGCCTCTTGGTAAAAGAGGGTTGAGGCAAAATAAATGCATAGCTTTGGTTAAGGATAGTGAACATCTCAGAGATACTGAATATATCATACACTTCCCAATTTTGTTAACAGTGTCTTTCTGCTCCTTTTATCTTATTCAGACTACTGGGATTAGGGCGGTGCCAAACCAATCACTCACGTGTAATGGTTTAGTAATCACACACCCTTAATTCTGGCATCAGACACTCTAGATTCACCCACCTATGACTACATGAGGATTTGGAGGGATATCTAGACCCAAACCATAATAATTCCACCCCTGGCCCCCCAAAGACTCATTATATTCCTTTACACAAAGGCATTTAGTCCATCTCTAAGATTTGCCAAAGTCCTAACAGTTTCAGCATTGCTGAAAAGTCCAAAGTCTCTGAGATTTAAGGCAAATTCTTAGCTACAACCCCCTATACAAATGAAAAGAAAGTTAAATCCTTCCTACATACAATGGCACAAGATAAACATTACCTCAAAAGGTACAAATAGGGGGACACAAAGAAATGGGACCAAGGCAAGATCAAAATTCAGCAGGGCAAACATGGTCTCATAGTTCATGTGCAGTATCCAAGGCAATCTGGGGTGAAATCTGAACTCCAAAGAGGTTGGGTGGCCTCGCCCCTGTGGTACTTCTGGTAGCTATAGCTCCCGTGGCTTCTCTCTTGGGCTGGTTCTGCTCCCTTCTTGCAGTTTTCACGAGACAGTCCACACTCCTGGCTTCTCCAAACTTCTGGGGTCTCCACTGCACCTTCAGCTTCACACTCACAGCCTCACCCACGGCCCTCCCGGGCCCTGCCTGCCTCCCAGGCCTCCTTCTGAAATCTGGTGGAGCCTTCCGGACCCTGCCACTCTTCCATTGTGCATGCGTCTATGACCAGCACCATGTGGATGACGCCAAGGTCTGCTGTCAGCTGGAGCAGTAGCCAGGCTTCTCTCGTGGCTGTAGGGGTTGAATGCCTGGATCACTGAGCACTCTGAATCCAATTCCAAGGAACAAGTTCTCTAGGGCCGCAATTCTGGAACATGGTGCTCTGGGGCTCCTCAAAGCAGTCTTTCACTTTTGCAATTTTGGGGCTGCAAAGGGTGGGTTCCTGCTGCTTCTTGTGATACCCTCAGGCCATCTTTTCTATTCTCCTGTTACCAATCAAGATCTTTTCTGCTCCATCTTTGCAGGCTAAAACTTTACTAGAGCTACCTTCTGGCCAAACTCAAAACATTTTAAATCATTCTGCTGGGCTTTTTGCTCTTGATTTTAAACACAGATCTGACTAAAAGCCTGCAACAGCAGCTGTGCCACAGCCTCAACATCAGACTGCCTTGAAATTTCTTCTGTGAGACTGATTAGTCTGTCACCCTTAATCTCACTCTCAGGCAAAGTCTCTGGACATTAGCAAAATGCAGACAAACTTTCTGCCAAGCCATAAAACACATTGTCTGGAGTCCAACAGCCAATGTAGTCCTTCTTCCCAGCTGAAGCCTCCTGAGCCTAATCTTTACCACCTTTCTGCTCTTCTGAGCTCTGACTAGAATGTCCCATACAGAACAGCCTAAGGCATTCCAGTAGCTGTTTTTTCAGCCCCCATCTCTGAATCTTTCCTAATTCTTCCCCTTCCAACAAGCCAGTTCCAAAGGCTCTTGAGCCACATGGCCAGGTAATTGGCCAGGTTCGGTACTTCTCTGGTACCAAATTTCTGTTAGTTACTTTTCTCTCATTGCTGACACAAAATACCTGACACCCAAAGTTAAAGGGGAAAGGGTTTACTTACTCAAAGTTTGTAGAGGTTTCGGTCCATGTCAGCTGTCTCCAAGACGGAGTGGCACATGGCAGAGGGGCATCGCAGAGGAGAAACAGTTCGTGGTGCCCACACAGTAGCAAAAATGGGAACCTCCCAATTTCTTGGCCAACCTAACTTTGACTCATTGTTCAGTTCCCACCCTCAGAAGTATTCCTTGACCTCTCCCCACCCTCAGTTACATTAAGTACCCTGCTTAGAGTCCCACAGTACTCTCAAGGGCCTATTTCACCATTATCATTATTAACATGTCTGGCTTTCCTTTTAGACAGTGAACTCTCCATGGTCAGGGGCTATGACTATATAGCTTTCCAGTATCATCCTAGAATCTGCCACCTAGTACAGTAGTCACCTAGAGTTTGTGTGTGTGCTACTTGGGGATTGAACACACAGGGCCTTCACAATGAGCTACTGGCCCACCCCACCCTCCTTTTTGAGACAGGATCTTGCTAAGTTGCTCAGGCTGGTCTCAAACTTTTGATCTTTCTGCCTCAGCCTCCCAGAATGCTGGGATTTCAGAAGGATGCCACCATGCCTGTCTAGGTTTCATCATTTAACTTGCTATGTAGTTCATGCTGGCCTTGAACTCACTATGTAGCCAGACAGCAATCCTCTGGCCTCAGTCTCCTGAGTGCAGGAATTAGATATGTGCCACCACACCTGGCTATAACAAATACTTATCAACATGTTTAATTAAAAATTGAACAAAACAGGGAAATGCGTATAGAAAACAGGACGATCATGGCAAAGAAAAATTGATGAAGAAAGTTCCCAGGTATGATAGAAATCCTTAGGTGCTGATAACACAAATACACAGGACCTGGGGAATTAAACGAACTTCAGATTTTAATGTAATGCAAAATTCACCTGATATTTATAACTGATGTATGTCATATTCCCCATAGATTTACAGGTCTTTCTCTGCTGGGAACGAGGCATTTAAAAAATCTCCCAATATCAAGAATACTCATGCTGGAGTTATCTATAACCTGAGGATGAAAGCCAGATGGAGCGCATTCAGGGGAGGCAAAAATGAGACTAGAAAGAGACAGCTAAGGGAAAACAAAGACAATGCCCTGGCCAAATGAAAAAAGATGACTGAGCTGACAAAACCAGCCCATGAGGAACACAGAACTGGAATAAGCCCATTTCAAGTGGCTGAAACCATGCACCTAATGAAGTCTCATGGGGCCCTACTGGCAAGTCTCAGAAGCTAGAAATGGTCACAAGAGCACTTCTAGTCCACCCTTAAATCTGCTCTACAAAGTATGTACTGTTGATTAAATGAACAAAAACAGGGAAAATTGCACTCATCATTTTAGAGCCCTAAGTTTGGTGTAGACATACAAATTAGAGGCAGACACAGCCCTCTATGACCAGCAAAAATTAGTTTTAAGGGCCAGGGATTTAGTTTCGTGGTTCGACTGCCTGCCTCGCAAATGAAAGGACCCGAGTTTGATCCCCGGTACCAAAAAAAAAAAAAAAATTAGTTTCAAGAAAGGTACACTGAAGGCCCATGACTTGAGAGTCAGCAGGATAACATGACTTACTGTTAGCACTCTTAAAAATGAAGGATTTACTATTAACCTATAAATTACCCTACAATTGAAGAAGATAAAAGATACCTAAAGAGGCAGTATTTTTGCATGGAACACAGAGAGAGCTTCCCAGTGAGCTCAGGCTTTTTTTTTTTTTGAAGGGTCTACATAGTTCAGGCTGGCCTTGAACTATGTATCCCAGGCAAGCCTCAAACTCATGGTGATCCTGCCTCCTCGTCCCAAGGGCTGGAATTATGGGCATGTGCTATCATGCCCAGTGGTCAGGCTTTTTAAAAATGGTGTAGAGGGGAGAAATGAAATGGTAGTGTGGTGAGTGGTAGCAAAATTCATTCTTTTCAAGATCCAGAATCCAGGCACTGGAAAATAACTTGTCAAAGAAAAAAAGACAAGCAGACCACCAGGAATCTTGAAAGAAAAAAATTAGAAGCTACAGAAGTTGGAAAGGTGGTCCACAATGCAGGAAAAAGCAGGAAACAATTTGAACTGTATCCCTGGCTCCTGCAGCTCACAGGGAAGGGACCAGGGGCCCTCAAAAGCAAGGTAAGCACCCAGGGCTGGGAAATCCAGGGAGAAACAGCAACAGAGTCAACAGGCTTTGTGAACTGCAAAGCAGCATGGGGTTTTGTTCCCACGGTACCCCTCCCACACTGTGAAGAGCCAGAGAGGAATGCACGTACAGGCGCCCACCATCTTGCCGAGAGTCCTTCAGGAGGCAGCAATACGAGAAGGGTATTCTTTCAATCCGTGATTCAGAACAACTAAAAGGCAATTTCACTTCAGGGCTCCCAGTTTTGTTCTCCCACAGTGACTAGGTGAGAGGCATTCACAGGGGATAGCCACAGACAGGGAACAGGCTAGAAACATCCCCTGAAAAATAGAAACTCAGGGCAGGAAGGACACAGCCCCAACCGGCCCGACCGGCCCCACCTCTCTGGGGAGAAACCAGACCCAGCTCACGTTGCAGTCAGAAACAGCCGGGTCTAAAAGTGCCTGCTGCCATTAAATCCTTGAACCCTTGTCCTGCTGCCTGTGTCCAACACAGATCTGAGGTCTAATTGCTTTCCCTATCCACCAACATGAGCAAGGACATGTCTCAGCATGGACATTGCCACAGCCTGGGGGAAACGGGCCTCTGAAATAGGGGTGCACATCACAGACCCACAGGATGTAAGGCAGTCAGAGGAAACAGACTTGAACTCCAAAGTATGGGTCCGAGAAGGAAACCATTCCTTCAAAAATACAAAGAAAAAAATGTATTTGCACTCATTTTCTTTTTTCCTCTCTTCTCTTACTTTTCCCCCCTTTTAATTTTTCTATTTTTATTCTTTCACCATCTAGTTATCCTTTATCTAATTCTACAAGTACCCTTCTACTCTATAATAGGGTCCTTTCCTCATTTTTCTCTCTTCATCTCCTCTTGCTTGATTTTTCTTTTCTTTTCTTTTCTTTTCTTTTTTTTTTTTTTTTTTGGTACTGGGGAATCTGCCTTAGGACCTTGC